TTTACTTATATAAGTAAATAAACCACCATTCCTATAAATTTACATTTAGACATTACTGTGAGAGCCTTAGGCATTATAAATTCAAGCGCTTGCCCACTATTGGGCAATTGTGTATTTATCTAGAGAAAACTTTTAAGGCTAATATGGTATCGTCAATGCGACCCACAAGTTGCATTCCGCAGCTGGCTCCGAGTTCAGCCACAATGTGCTCGAGAGCCAAGAGCGCTGTGGCCAGATTAGCATATCTTAATGCTTTCAGATTCAGAATACATTCGTTTGTGGTTTCGCGTTGCCTTCAAGGTTACGCCACTTGATTATTATCTTTGAACTTTCATTGCTTTGTTCCGACTTTCTCTGTTCTCTTCTTCTTTAATTTCTAGCTTTCGCTGCGCAAACTAGGTGTGAAGCACAAAAACTCGAAAATTAATGCAAATTTTGTGGCACACACAATTGCAGCATTCATCCAACATTTTTGAGCGATATTTCAGCAAAGCGCGCTTTTGTCAGAAAGCGTGAACTTGGGTAAAAGTGCGCGGCCAGTAATTCGCACCATGAATAGGATAAGTCGTCCGTTAAGCGTAATTAGAATTTTCGCTTGCATCGCCAGCACTGTAGTATTTTATATGTATAGACAATTTTCCATAGTGCCTAGGTAGAACATAGGGCCTCAAAGCGTTAGATTTTTATTTGCTAAGTCAAAAGCCCACATGAGTCCGCTTTCAGTGCCAGCTTAGTCACAGCTAACAGACACTATTCAAACACGGGCCTTTGTATGGGAAGCGAGAAAATGAAAAAAATTGTAATGGAACCAAGTATAAAAACCTTACCTTCCAGATTTCAATATAGACCGACAGCTGTACCATTTCTTACCTAGTGTTCACTGGAACAATAAGTAATATAATAATATTATACATTTTAAAATATGTAATATTATGTAATATTTGTATGACCTTTGAGAGAAAATTGTACTGTAATCCTAATAACGCCGTTCGAAAATAACCAATATCACCTTTTAGAATTCTCGAAATATTTCCTTTGTGTGGTTGTAATTGAAGTTATTCAATGTACCATTGAAGTGAGATGAACTTTATTGAAAAAGGTTTTAATCGCGATTTAGTTCAAGTTCTCCTCTTGACCCAGAATCATTTAGTAAAAGGCAGCCGTATATTTTATACTAAGTCCGCTATATATTTGCTCTCTTTTTCATTTATATTCGCTCATTAGCGCTCATTCCTTTATCACTTGTAAATACATATTTACATGTAGCACATTCTTATTTTAACGACGCTAGTCAGCCCCGCTTTCTCCTTCCTGTCCCTGCAGAGGAAAACAAAAATTTAAAATGCTTAAGATGTAATTACTTTCACACGCCTGCTTACTCGCAAACAAAACACAAATATATCAGGATAAACCACGTGTGTAATCTCATTCACATCACTCATACGACACGTTGGCATTAAGGCGAGCATTCATAATGTCAAGTCAGCTATCCAACCTTTTAGCTGACAGGCAAACTCTACAACAGTCATCGCAAGGCTTCAGGCAGCAATTTCTGAAAGGTTGCGACCATAATGCGCTTTGTTTTAATCCCTTTACTTTACTACTCTGGGCGAGTTTTAATTGCACAGCAACACAAACCGATTTCGCATATGAAAGTGGGCAAATATGTGTGTCTTTCAAATATTCAAAGTAGAATTCATATGTATGAGAATTTTCATATCATTACAGTTCCGAAGGATTAAGCATGCCCGTTTAAAGGTATAAAACTTATATTTTATATACACAAAAACTAAATAAAATCGTCAATATTAAAGGTATCGGTGGACGGGTGTAGGCCCGAAACTGTCTTAAAAAATTTCTACATAATGGACGGTCAAAGGTCAAGTTGGAGAAAAGGTGTCGAATCGATAACCTCTGCAGTGGCGAAGACTTGTTCGATACATACAGTGTGCGTTTGTGTTGAAAGAATATTGCATTATAGTTAAAGTGAACAGAAGCCGATTCATCGTAATGTAGATAACCTGCTTAGATAGACAATTATGCATTACGAAATATCTGATAAGTGTCCTGAAAGTTGACCGCAGAAAATCGGTGTTCTGGAAAGCCTTAAACATTTTTATAGTGTAAATTTTGCATGATAATTTGCCAAAGTATACTTAACAAATGTACATGTCAGTCCCATAGGCAACTCTATACTTTGAAAAAACAATCTTTACTAAAAAATATTTCCCCTCTCCTTAGGCGATCGCTTAACCATATTAATAATAACAAAATGTTTCAAATTTAAACTTCGGAAAAGTCATCGCATAATAGTTTTCCACGAAAAATATTTTATTTTTCCCTAACAAACTTCAAAAAAAGAATATTTTGTAGTGAAAATATTTAAATTCGTAAATTACGATATTTATGAACGTGCAAAGGCTAGTACATAGAATACGTGCGAAGCTACAAAAACGTATTAAGTACTTAGTCCAATTAAAAATCACTCACTTGCATGACTGCCTAACGC